TACGTCTATTTCAACATTACTCACAGAAACAAGTGAATTTCCCTGTGTGGGAAGTTATCTCGTCTCCTCGGATCTTAAATAAACACATGAATGATTAAATTAAACATGTGAACACAGGAACCGTTTAAAAAAGTCAAATCAAGGTTAGAATCTAATAGATCAGATGAAATGTACACAGAGGCGTTATGAGCTCTCCGGGGCTCGTTCAGCAGGTGTGGAGTCAGTTCATAGAGGTGTGCAGTGGTATATTGTTGTGTATTCTTTGTATGGAGCCAGTGAAGCTGGATGAGGACAGCTGTCTGTAGATTTGGTGCAGGCGATGAAGGAAGCAGCAGAGTTTCAGACGGTCATACCAGTGAGAGGGCGTCACAGTGCGGGAAGTGACCAGGGCATGAATCAGAAACGATGTGTTGCACCAACTGAAGGAGAAACGGATTCTGGAGATGTTGCGTAAATTAAAAAAAGCAAGCAAACTATTAATATGTGCACACAGTTCCTAATATCTAACCTGTTTACTGCTCTGTGGTCAGGTCCGTGTTTACACTTCAGAATGAACCTTTGCCAGGGTTTGACTCTGCTGAGTTATGAATGGCCCTTTGGCTTCCGGCCATGCGTGTTGAATTCACAGGGATGACTGCACTGACCCTCTTTGTTCACACGTGTTGACCTGGTCGTTCTGTTTTTGTCACCACTTTGCTTTTATTGTCTTATTGATAAAAACTGGAAATGTTTCACTTCATGGGCGAAAGAATCAAACGATGACCTTTCATTTTCTCCGTAACTTCCTCTTTCAGACATACTGAATTTCTGTGCCAACAACTACCTCGGCCTGTCCAGTCATCCAGATGTGGTGCAGGCCGGGATCGATGCCCTGAAGACCTACGGTGCTGGACTGAGCTCCGTCAGATTCATCTGTGGGACACAGGTCAGATTATTGTAACGCTCACACACGTCACCTCTTACTCCTGCAAGACGACGATTAGAAGCACTGATGATCTGTGATCTACAGGATCTGCACAAACATCTGGAGCAGAAGCTCGCAGAGTTTCACGAGAGGGAAGACTGCATCCTCTACGCCAGCTGCTTTGATGCCAACGCTGGGCTGTTTGAGGTACGTCACGCTTTACACTCTACACTGAGACTGGTAACGATCTCTCCTGTCATTCTCAACCAGTCGAATGTCTCTCACACCAGGTTATGTTGGGCCCGGATGACGCAGTGCTGTCTGATGAGCTAAACCACGCCTCCATCATCGACGGGATCCGTCTGTGTCGAGCAAAGAGGCTTCGCTACAAACACATGGACCTCGGTGATCTGGAGACAAAGCTCAGGGAGTCACAGGTGGGTGGAAACCACGTGATTCAGAATCTGAAACAGTTCAATCAGATGCCGTCACCGTTATGAGCCACGCAGGGGGGACGATCTCGATGTAGCAACAGTAACTACGGAAGACGGGGCTTTGCAGACTTAGTGTTGTATTTGTATGTATATGACAGTTTGCTTCACCGTGTCTCGTCCTCCTCAGTCGTCTCGTATGCGCCTGGTCGTGACAGACGGCGTCTTCTCCATGGACGGAGACGTGGCTCCTTTAGAGGGAATTTGTGACCTGGCTGAACAGTACGGAGCCATGGTGTTCATCGACGAATGCCACGCCACTGGCTTCCTGGGGCCGCGGGGCAGGTGAGGAAGATGCTGATTCATCCGAATGCAAAAAATCTACTTTATATTAGTGTATATTGAAACTATGGGTTACCTTTGTGACTCCTGTGATTTGCAGAGGGACGGACGAGCTGCTGGGAGTGATGGACAGAGTTCACATTGTGAACTCCACCCTGGGGAAAGCACTGGGTGGAGCAGCAGGTGGGTTTTCATCAGTATCTGGTATATTATCACCAAACGGTTTTTCAGAAACAGAGCAACAGTTCCACATCAAATCCTCCTCTGCTCTATATATTTTTTTCAGGTGGCTACACAGTTGGTCCGAAGCCCCTCATTGACCTGCTGAGGCAGCGCTCACGGCCGTATCTGTTCTCCAACTCCCTCCCCCCTCCTGTGGTGGGCTGCGCCACCCGGGCTGTGGAGCTGCTGCTCGCCTCCAATGAGATCGCACAGAGCATGACGGCCAAAACCATGAGGTGCGTTTGTTCTAAAAGTGGGGGTTGGGAGGGTGGAGCTGCGTGCTATTGTTGGTTTCTGTTAGCCCAGTGGCAGCTGGTGTCGGCGGTAACGGGTCAGGGTCAAGGGTTGGTCGAGGTCTTCGGAACATTTTCAGAAATTCAGAAGCAACTCATTATTCAGCTGGTCTGTAAAAAAGTTTATACGGTGCACTGTTTGCTGAAGGAGGGAATTCTAACATGAACAACCAAGTGGAGAAAATAGAGAAACGTCCTCATCCTGATCTTAGTAACCGAATGAGCTTAATCTGAAAAGGGAACAAATAAATTTCCCATCATCTAGTTGCAAAACCTCGCTCAGTAACTCCCACACACAACCCTCAGGCCACATTGTGCAACTGTGGAAAACCTGCTGAACAAAGCTTTTTTCAGGATAAATTAAATTAAGCAAAGATCCTTATTGTCATTATGCTCTGGTACAATAAAGGTTTGAGAATTCTCTCTCAATAAATTGAAAGTAAATAAAAACAGTAATGGCAAAAAAAAAATCATCAAAATCAGAATTCACAGATTTGTTTATGTGGATGCATAACTCAATGTATTGTCTTTTATTGGCTCATCCTCACGTTGTTTAAGCAAATGTTCAGGATTAATGAGTTATTTTACCTCATGCCGGCTAAACTAAATAACATCTACGAATGTGATTATAAAATGTGTCTCTCTGTTGTTTGTTCAGGTTCAGGAACAAAATGACCCAGGCTGGTTTCACCATCTCGGGCTCGGCTCACCCGATCTGTCCTGTGATGCTGGGCGACGCGCGGCTGGCGTCTCTGATGTCCGACGACATGCTGAAGCTGGGTGAGTCCGTGGAGAAAACCTGAAATGACCGCTGAACATGGTTCATTGTGACATACATAATAAAATTGTGGCGTCATTAACACCTGTGGGCGACAGGAGGTTGTTCACTCACCAACCAGGAGGTCGGTGGTTCGATCCCTCCCTGTAGAAAATGTGCTCTGCTAACTCGCCTCTTCCCTCCACAGGAGTGTATGTGATTGGATTCTCTTACCCGGTCGTACCAAAGGGCAAAGCCAGAATCCGTGTTCAGATTTCTGCAGCCCACACAGACGAAGACATCGATCGCTGTGTGGACGCTTTCATCCAGACGGGCAGGAAGCACGGCGTCGTCTCCTGAGATGGACAGACGAGCGAGAATCAGCTGTTACCATAGAAACCGTGAAGCGTCTGCCCCTGCAGACCCTGCTGCCTGTTACTAGAGACCTGTGAATGATTGTGATGGATATATTGGTTACAGAGGTTTATGTTGTGTATGTGTGTGCCTCTCTCAATAAAGCACTTTTGCTAACATGTGTAGGTGTGTATTTAAAATATAAGGGCTGTTTATTAAAGACAATAGACAAGTTTATTTACACAAGTCAGTCATACTTAGTGCAGGTTGTGCTTTAAATAATTAAGAACATAACAAATGTAATGGTACTATTAGATATAACTTTACATTGTCAGCAATTATCATAGTAAACATTGAACTTACACTTTAAAACTAG